ATATCTATTGTAAATCCAAAGAGGGAACTGAGTAAGCACCCGGTTATGTGCACCTCATGCACATGAGCGAGTTTTAAGTGAGAAATAGATATGTGAACATCTTCAGCTGGTAAACAGTATTTGAATCTGCAACACTGAGTGAGTATGAATACAAATGGACTCTGGAAAGCGTATAAAGATTAAACTGTGGGAACCTTGTATTCAGACATCAAGAAGACCAGGATGCACAAGGATGACCTCAGCTAAGACTCCTAGCAATAGTGGAGATGATGCCTGAACTGGCTGCCTCCTGTAATAAGATTGGTGACTACCCTAATTGTCATCACAGAGTCTTTATCCAGTACTGATGGAAGCAGATGCAGAGATCCACAGCCAAGCACTGGCAGTTAAGTTGAAGAGAGGAAGGAGGGACTATATGAGCAAGGGGGGTCAAGATCATGACCGGGGAAACCCACGGAGACAGCTGACCTGAGCTCTTGGGAGCTCTCAGACTCTAGACTGACAATTGGGGAGCCTGCATGGAACCAACCTAAGCCCTCTATATGTGGGTGATAGTTATGTAGCTTGGTCCATTTGTGGTCCATAGCAATGTGACCAGGATCTGTCCCTGGCACATGTGCTAGCTTTTTGGAACCTATTCCCTGTGGTGGGATGCCTTGCTCAGCCTTGATGCAGTAGGGAGGAACTTGGTCCTGCCTCAACTTGCTGTGCCATGCTTTGTTGACTCCCATGGGAGGCCTTAACCTTTCTGAGGAGCGGATGGAGCAGGGAGTATAAAGGAGGTGGGAGGAGGGAACAGGAGGGAGGGGAAACTGGTTGGTATATAAAATAAATTTTAAAATTTTAATTAAAAAAAAACAATAAAGAAAAGAAGACCAGGATGAATCAGTCTATGGGACTGAGGCAGAACAGCCCCCAATATATCAAGAAACTGACAGAGGATGCTTTCTAGTGAAGTTGAAAGATACAGACAGCCCCACGTTGTTGGGGTGGAGGAATGGAAATGGGAGGTGAGAACTGACTTTGCTCTTTGGTCATGGGAAGGACACTGATGGTCTTTAAAAAGTGATTGAGTAAAATAGATGAAAAGCCTGAATGGAATGGATCCAAAACAGGAGAGGAAATGGAGAGAGCAGGTACAGACAACACAAGGAGACGTCCCTATGACTGAGGAAGGATGCAGACGTCAGCACACATAAAATAGGGCCTGAATATCTACTGTCCACGGAAAGAAAAAGCTACCTACCTCTTTCTAACAAGGTGAGACGTTTTTAAACTGCTCATCTTGTCAGCCTACCCGGCTTTTGAATCTAAAGTCACAGTGTTCCTGTTCAATGTGACAAATTTGGTGGCAGGCTTGGATTTCAGCTCCAGCCGATTTCCTAGACCATAATACAATTCTGCACCCAAAGTGCCTCAGGCCTCCACCCAATCAATAAATTGCAGCTAATGCCCTTAGGGAAAATGGTCTTTGATGAGACTCGGTGTTAGCAGCCAATCCAAGCCCATTAACTTCCACATCTGGAAATAAGGTGAGAATGGAAAAGGAGACTGATGCCTCCAATTTAGTTCTCATTTATCAGCATCACAATAACCTAGCTCAACTACATACAATTCGGGGTGATTGGATGAATTTGCTGAGTAGAGGTCCAAGACAGAAATAATAAGGAGGCTGAAGGTCAGGATCCAGAATTTACTGGTGGAGTTATTTCAAAGTACTAGGTTGAGAGTCAGGGAGCAAGACTAAAGGGACACCAAATAAGATGCTCGGAGACTCCAATCCAAAGACTGATCATAGCTGAGGTAACTCCGGATCATACACAGCTTCTTAATAAGCCATTTCAAAACAAACAGTGATCTCAGGGAACCCTACATTTCTATAATTTAATTCCTCTTTTCCTCAAGTGCCCAAGCAAAAAGAAAAAAAAAAAAGAATTCTCTCCATTTCAGAGATAGGAAAATTGAGTTTGGAGAGAGTGAGGATTTTTCATGACAACTGGGGAAAAAGAACACTTCCCTTCAGTTAATGACATACTCCCCTAATGAGGCAAAGAACTGGCTGAGTTTACCAAATCTGGAAGTACATGTAATGGAGTGAAAACAAGTTTTGTTAGCTATTACCAGAATTCCTCTGAATGAGAAAATTATCGCTGGCTAAAAAAAAAAAAAAAAAAAAAAAAAAAAAAAAA